TTCTTTTCTATATATATATATTTTTAAAGATGTAGCCTATCTATTGAAATTGAATTTTATTTTATTCTTTTCTCTCTCTATATTTTTAAAGATGTAAGGCTTTCTTGGTTTTGGAATGAAAGTGCAAGTGTCCGGTAATGTTGACAATTGAGCTGATCATTCATTACTAAGAATTGCAGTTTTATTAACAGCACGTTCCAATTATTATGATTATAATTCCTTACGTAGTTAATGATGAATACGAATGTTAAATGAAGTTCGGTGGGTGGATAGGGGGTGTCACGGTAGGTTCTACTTCGTCATTACTTTCCCTGTGTTGTCTCTGTCAGATGTTTTCCCAGCACCAAATGATCATTATTCCATTGATGTACTTCTCTTTACTTAATCAAACGAAGGATGAATTTAGATAATTAAGTATAATAAAGTACTATCTAATCTAATCTAATCTAATACAGCAGGTAGTTGGCGGGTACTCTGGTGTGGTTTGCTCCTTGTTTCCTACCAAACATCTATCGTCCTTCTCTCCTCCTTTTTTGTGTTTGTTACTCTCTTATAACACCTCTAATCTAATCATCGACTCTTATATGACCTTATTGTGTTGCAAGTGCTGTAAAACTCTTACTATATAACTAATTAAAGTTTTATTCAGTTGAGTCGAAATTGTCCAAGAGGGCCACCACCCACTGTGAAGGGAAAAAGTGGGTGTACAGGTAATTTTCTTGGACAGGTTGCCGTTAGAGCGTGTTCGACTGTCTCAGACAACCACTTCCCTCCTCGATGTTGGGTGGTTGTATTGGACAGTTTCAACCATATCATATTATTGTACAGACTTTCGTGTTGAAACCTTTGTGTATGGTTTAAAGAAAAAAGTTTTTTTAGGAAATACATGTGTACATACATCTCTTTTTTTTTTTTTTTTAACTCTGTGTGTGTGAGTACATGTATCTGTTTTAGGTTTGATGTGGGTTTTTTTGTGTGTGCTCATTAGAGGATAGTCTCTATTTCATAATATTATGGTTGTTTGTAGGGGTGAAATTGGTTTGCCACTGTTGGCATGTGTATTGCATTATATCCATATAAATCAAAATTGAAAACAGAGGACGAGAAATAGATGGAAAATGAAGTTTCACTTCCATCAGTTAGTTCCCTGTGCCATGAAGATTAAAATGTATGGTAAAGACGTTTTGGAACAATTTTGCCAAAGTTGTGTGTGTTTTGTATGTTTGCAGATGTTTGTGTGTGTAAACATGTGTGTTTATGTGTTATCCTGTGTTTGTTTGGGGCGATTAGTCCCTGCCGCCTGTTTTACTTTTGCATTTTAATTGTTTTCCTAAAAACGATTCATACATTTGTTGTTATATTTAAAATTGACAGGGAATTTGATATAATATATGTGTACAACTTTTTCAAAATTCTGTGACCCATGGTGTGGAGCATAAGTAGAGCATGTTGTTTTTACCTACAACATTGTTCATGTAGAAAACTATTTGCACCCAGCTATTTAGTTTTCGAGTACTGTGTACATTATGTGGTTACTGCAGTTTGTTGTATTTTAAATCTAAATGATTTTTAAATGTGACTTGAATTAATAAAACTGACTCTTAAATCTTACGTGAGTCTTTAGGTTTGAGTGTCTGTTTGTCTGTGTTCATGTTGGTATGGGTATGCATGTCTGGATCAGTCGCTAAGCATGGAATTAAGGAACACTACATTTCAAACAGTAAGTTATACCTTTCAAATATTCACAGTGCATGTAATTGGTGGCTGTCCCAATTTGGTACTAACAATATAATTGTAAGGCATGGTTATTTTCTTGTTAGTTTTGCCTCTAACATCAAGCGACTCCCACCTCTTTCAATCACATATATCTCGATTTCTATTCAAGATAGACAGGTATTTTTTCACCAACAGCAAGATAAATGAAAAGATAACTCCTATATCTCCAAATGCCCAAAAATCGATGAGTGCCTGATTCCACCGCATCATGACACAACTGAGAACAACACACAGGGTTTAAGTCACATTTTCCTAAAAATCATTCGAAAGCAGCGATAAAAAGCTATCTATTAGTAGTATTGATGAAGCGCTATTCTGTTCCTGCACTCAGTTATTCTTGTTCAAAGATGCGAAGCCAGAATGCAACTACAAGGTCAAGTCCAGAAAAAGGTCTTCTTAAGCTCTCTAATCGGAACTTACTTGAAGTATTTCACGAAATGAGGTTTTCTCGAAATCATCTAAATGTGAATTCACCTTGGTGTTTTTCTCAGGTTCTCAGTTTATAAAAACACTCACGCCACATCTTGTGCTGGAAAGTAATTTGACCAACTTAGCTCTCCTCGATTCCCCGGAATAATCATTAACAAGAAATAATAAACATTTGTACCACATTTTAAAAGACTTTCGCATGATGTGCCAAAAAGCCTCAAATTTTTACAACATTCTGCCTGATCCGCAGTGTACTAGGAGGTTCGTAGCGATGATACTTATTAAACTGTCCTGCAAAAAGCATGACGTCGTCATAATAGGGCTGTTATTTTTCGGGCCAAAGGAAGGAGGTGTCGTTATTAAAAAAACCAAAACTGGCTGAATACAAGGTAACAAGTTGCTTTCTTTAAATTTAAAGTGTTTATTTGTTTTTGTTCCTGTTTGACATAATTTAGTTTTTAATTAAGGAGGTGGTCTTCTACTGTTCCTGTCAGGGATATAATGAGCCACGAGGAACCCAACCTTCCAGCAGAAAAGCAGAGATGCTTGATAAAACTTCACCTCACATTAGAATCAAACTCTGGGCTCTTACACGGACAGCAGCGCCCAACCATTACACCACAGATGTCGATGAGAATGATCGAGACCCCTCTCAGAATCAAAAGCTTCAACTTCCGAGAACTAGATGATATTACTGGTATAGCTTGTTCGCTTTCATTTGTTTGCATTAAAGAATTCTAGCTCATTTATTAATTTACCAATGCACATGAAACTTCATGAAACTCCTGTTGGCTAATGACCAAACAAAAATACTTTTTATAAAAATTTCTATCCAGTACATTTGGTAAAATTAAGGGCCCTATATTAAACACCGCCCTTTGAGTGCATACACAGGATCCCTGCAATAATAAATGATTTACAGTACCCTTTCCGACAACTTACTCATTTTGAGACAGTGACAACACCCTCTCTCGCTCTCTCATCTCTAAGTTTTTATTCTATGGTGTTGGTAGCCTAGTAGTTAGGTTACCGGCCCCATACATGTAATCATGAGATTGCAGGTTTGGGGGTTTAAGCCTCTGATCGGTCCGAAGTTGTGTCCTTAGGAAAGGCACTTAACTGTACTTAACACGAATTTCCCGTTCGGCTCAGTCCTTTCGGAGATGGATGTTTAACTTGGAGGTCCCTTCTCTTAAATAACCTAATAGTGTTGATTGGGGCGCTAAACCTATACATCCATTTCACCACTTTACTAATTATAGTATTTTTCAAACAATTAACGAACAAGGAAAGCATAAAAATAGAATATATTTCTCTTATTCATGGCTTCCTGATCGAGCAGAGGAGGTTTCAATAATATGTCAGTCTTTGATTCACAGCTCCGTCGAATTAATCTTTGCATCCCTATAAGTGGATACTTCATATTTGCAAGTATGGAATAATAATAATAATAATAATAATAATAATCATCATCATATGTTAATGGTAGCAAGTGTCAGGCAAAAATGCTATATCTGGTATTTTCGTCAATTGACTATAGAGACTGGCCTTAGACAACCTCTCTCTCTCTTTCTCTGTCTGAGTATGTTAAATACACATACAAACCCTCCCTCTCTCTGCACACAAACACATACACAAACAAACAAATTAACACACACACACACACACACACATCCACACACTCACAAAGTACAACAAGTCCATTCACAAGATTTTGAACCATAGGGGAAAAGACAATGGAAAAGATCTTGACATCCTCTGTTACCAGCAGTGTAACCACAACTTACACACAGAGGTGTCTTGTGGGATGGGTGGGGCTTGCAGCTTTTTCAGTCCCACCTGGACTTTTTCACCACATACAAAGTTCTCAGGCTTAATCAAAACAAAATGACACGACGCGGTGGAATCAGGCGCTAGCGCTCGTCAATTTTTGGGCATGTGGAGTTATTGGTATCATGTGAAAGTTGATTCCAATGGAATAATAATTTATCTATCTTGAATAGAACTCAAGATATTTGGGATTGAAAGAAGTGAGATAGCCTGGTTTTCAGTGGTGAAATAAGCGAAAAAATGGCAGCCAAAGCTTGGTAACTCCAATAGTTAAAAAGAGTCCTTGAAAGAAGAAAAATGACATATTTTGAGCCTTTTATTCAATGTTTTTCAGTAAAATTCAGATGGAAATGTGCTTTTATATGAACATAAAAGAGGTTGAGCCGTAAAATAAAAATTCGACACAAATTTCTAAACTGGTGGAAAAATGCCCGTTTTTCCAATTTCTGTATTTTGACGTGCGCCTGATTTCACCACGCTGCCTCACAAATATTATAACAAGAAATGTGTCCAAGATATCCATCTGTCTACGACAGTCGTTTTACTCCTTGTCAATACGCTACCCTAGAATTTCAACGTTCTATCTGCTCAAAACCTAGTTGAGAAATTTGATGTTAAATTGTTTTAGTTTCACAATGTGTCAAGCTTTTTCGAATGCAATTCTTTGCATTTTATCTTGATAACGACTCCGAATAATCTTGATAGAGGAGATAGAGCATTGGCTTCTGACTTCATGCTTTTAGTAACAGCCAAAAATATCATATAGAACTTTGTAATTCAGAGGTAGTGAATAGATGGTAATCTTAAACAACTTGGATTGCACGAGCCACAAGAACATTATATAGTGCAGTCAAAAATTGGCGGCACAACATATCCTCAAGTATCTATTTAACGGGTGAATCAGTGTCATTCACACTTTGCCCAGCAGTTTGTATCAATTCGTCTTGACTTAATCATATTTTTCCACAACAATTGGGGCTAGATTAAAAAACTAGTTGCGTCACAAAATTTTGGACCGCACTATAGCAATTCCGCTTCCAAAGACATCAAGCTTATGATGCACCACTTTCAGTCAGTCGGAGTGTCCCTCCCCTCTGTCTGTCACCTCAACCCTGGCTCCTCCTCCCTGCCACTAAACTCCTCCCAGTACTCGCGGTCGGGGGAGCTCCCGGCGAGAGGTTCGCAGCCAGACAGCAGCTCTTGGACATCCATCACGTGGAATTTGGGCGGCTCTTTGTCTTCGGGCGGAGAAGTCGCGACTGTCACCGGCGCTGCCTCGTCCTGATGGTAAAATTTAAAAGAAGGCATTTGGAAAATAAAAAATTTATTACAATCCCCAAAAGAGCATTCACACAATGATAGCTAAAAGTAGAAGACTAATGAAAATCATAACATTAAAAATAATAATTTGCATGTACATTAATAATAATAATAATAATGATAATAATAATAAAATGATACTATTACTATTACAACTACTGATAATGATAACAATAATAACAATAATAATAATAATAATAATAATAATAATAATAATACATGTAATAATAATAATAATAATAATAATACATGTAATAATAGCAATAATAATAATAGTAGAAAGTAAAGTAAGCAAGGGTGCCCTATAGTTTTAATGGCCCTATAAACCCTCTTAGGTTATTTAAGAGGTGGGACCTCCAATTTCACATCCGTCTCCGATAACACAGAGCCAAATGGGTGGAGATCCTTGAAAAAACAAAAAACAAAAAAACAATCCCCTTTTAAGAACAATCAGTCTGGGATTCGAACCAGGGCCTTCTGCTCCGTAGTGCAGCATTGAACCAACTGAACAAACGGAGCACAGCAAATAAAAGAAGAAGAAGAAGAAGAAGAAGAAGAAGAAGAAGAAGAAGAAGAAGAAGAACAACAACAACAACAACAACAACAACAACAAACTGTAGGTTAAAACCACGAATAAAGGATGCAGTAGAGTTGACTATTCAACGCCAAAGATACACATACAGATTTTTGGAATAACATGTGTAGAATAGAGTAGGCCTAAAGATCCAACACAAATAAGGCACTGGAAGGTACTTTCCACATCCTACGAAAAAACAACAACCAAGAACAAAGACCCCCCCCCAAAAAAAAACCACAAACAAAACAAAACAACAACAACAACCAACAAACACAAACAAAAACACAAAAAACCAACTACCAAACAAAACAACAACAACAAACCCCTACAACTCCCCCCCCCCTATTAATTAAAAAAAAACAAAAGCAAAAACCCTCTCCACACGAGAATCGAACTCATGTCTTCCGCGGGCCACAGCAAAACATCTAACTGCTACATCACAGACGCCGATGGCGTTACCACGGCATCATACGATCCACGCGGAGAAGAGCATGAGACAAAGAGCTAGAGGTGGGCAAAAGCCTGATAATCTATCCGGATAACCGGATAATTCTCAATTGAACGTTATCCGAATTCAGACTCTTAACTCTCTTTCCTGACCCGTTTGCCGATGTGGGGGCACACATTTGATTTTGTTGAAGTGATTCTTACCCGTTTTTTTTAAGTGGTTCATAACACATTTTGCCGAAGAGGTGCACTAACATTATAACATCATCCGGATTTTGCAACAGCGACTCATTGCCCAGTCCTGCTAAGAGCAAGTCATCATCAACAACACACATCAAGCAAAAGAGCGCGTGTCAACAGCCTCCTAATTGCACACTGCTTTCATTCAAAACAATTACCACTCCCTGTAGCCTAACAGCAGACATTGGGGGGAAAGGCGGGGGAGAATTCACGAGTATATTCTTTCATAGCGCATCATAAAGCGAAAAACGACGCTCTTTCGCTGTTTGGTCGGGTCGGGGGAAAGGAGCGGGATTCCAAAAACGTGCCTCGTTACTTCGGAAGAAGAATGCCGTTGAAGATTAACGATGTCTGAGATTTAAGTATTAAGTACAATCTCTCTATCTTCACTTCATTTATACAAAGTACAAGCGACCTGGATCGCGTCCAGGAAATTCAGAATTTTTCGGGAAAAGCTCAAAGGATATAATTTGTGTGTATGTGCGTGTAATATTGTGCGCGTTTGCGTGTATTGTACGTGTGCGCGCGCGCGAGATCGCGGTTGAGTGTGCATGTGTGTTTATATGTGTATGTGTGTGTATGAGTATGCAAGTGTGAGTGCGCGCGCGCGCGTGTGTGTGTGTGTCTGTGTGTGTGATATGCGTGTGCTCTCCCAGAGAGGAAGCTCTCTTTCATCAAGTCATCCCTCTGTCTCAGGGCGAAAAAACTGGCGGTAAAGGGAGGTAATAGACCCCCTGAAGACAGATAAGAAAGAGTAATTTGTCTCTCACTTTTGTGCTAGCGACGTTTTATTTCCAACCTGATTTCTCGCAGTCACGTAGTACCGGCTAACAAATGTTCGGATTGGGTTTTTTTCCTTTTTTTTCTCTTCTTTTTTGTTAGTTTTTCTATCAGAGACTTTCTAACCCCATCACCTCCCAGACCCCCTCGCTCTGTCTGTCTGTCTGTCTGTCTGTCTGTCTGTCTGTCTGTCTGTCTGTCTGTCT